CAGGGTTGTGGACTGGAGCTGTGTGTTTGTGTGTGTGCGTGTGTGTGTGTGAGTGAGTGAGAGAGAGATTGAGAGATTGAGAGGGAGGAGAGAAGTTGCATTCCAATAGGTAGAACACGCACTGTGGCATTGACGACTTTTGTTGTGATTTTAAAGCTTTCTTAAAAAAAAAAAAACAAGTTTTCCTTTTGGACACTCTAGCATAGTAACTTTCTAATTGTGGGGAAAGCTGCTCTTGCAGGTGTCGTGTGGTGTGTGAAAGACATTCTAGGGAAGAAGAAAGTTCTTTTGTAGTATAAGACCCCTTCCTTTCATACAGTAGATCTGTTGTCCTCCATACACCTTGAGTGCCCCATCCTTCCAATGGGATTACAGAAGAGAGTTCTCAAAGCTGTGCCTTCTAGCTTTCTCACCCATGATGCCATCAGGATGGGATCAAGGGTAAATAGCTGATCAGCAGTATGGGAATTCCTGCAGGCACAGTTGACTTGGTAAAAGAGGATTTTCTTTAATATTTAAGCAACTACTCTTATAGCTTTGGCAGGAGAGCTTGGAGAAGGACATACAGTGGTGCCTCACTAGACAGTTACCCCGCACGACAGGTTTTTCGCTAGACATTGGCTTTTTGCAATCGCTATAGCGTTTCGCGAAACAGTGATTCCTATGGGGGAATTTCACTGGACAATGTTTGGTCCGTGCTTCGCAAACCAATTTTCACTAGACAACGATTTTGACAGCTCCCTCCATGCTCGCAAAACGGGTGTTTTCAGGACCTAAGCTTCGCAAGACAGCTATTTAAACAGCTGATCGGCAGTTTGCAAAGTGGCTTTCCTATGGCCGATCTTTGCTAGACAACGACAATTCTTCCCCATTGGAACGCATTAAACAGGTTTCAATGCATTCCAATGGGGAAGTGCTTTTCATGAGATGATGATTTCGCTAAACAGCAATTTCAGTGGAACGGATTATCATTGTCTAGCAAGGCACCACTGTATTAACTCTTGTCTTGTCAAGCTCTGTTCCTGGCTTCCCCCTGGCAGGAGTGATGTCTTGTTTGGGGGGGGGGGCTATAATTAAGTTGTTGCATTGAATGTGAAAAAATTATGCAAGAACAAACAGTGGTTTGTTGTGCATGGGGAACAGAGGCTTCAAATTTCTTCCAGGGAGCAGGATGTAACATCTATCTTGGATTCTTTGTTTCTCATTCCCAACTATGGGAGGGACAGGGAAGAGGCGAAACCAGTGCCGTCTTCGCTACAGAGTACTATCTGGTGTCTCTCCAAAAAAAGAGAGAGCTCCTAGCAAAACATATGTGATATCTGCTTTCTTTATTTACCTCATTTCATTGCTCTCCCACCCTTGTCCCCCGTTCAGGAGCCCAAAATGGCAAGAAGGGGAAACAACAAATAAATGAGTTAAAACATTAAACATTCTATGAAACAGGTAACATCAAAAGATTGTTAAGACTTGCAACAGTTTAGAAGCAAAAGCAAACAAACAAAAAAAAGACTCACTGAGTGTGAGTTTAGTTCCTAAGGTGCTGAAAACTCAACTTGCCTTCCCTTAAAGCCTTTGTGCTTTTCACTGTTGGACAGAATGGATAATTCTTTAATAACACAGAGGAAACTTTTTTTGCCCCAACTGGGTCAACAAAGATTTTGAAGAATTAGGAATTATCCTGTTAATCTCTATTTTATTCCCTTCCCTAAGGAAGCAAAATCACTGTGGCCAGGATTTGTTGCTGCTCTGCAGTAGTTTCTTAACCTCCAGCCTTGGGAGTAAGATGCTTCAGAAGCAGTGTCTTTCGGTACATGAGGCAATGTAGAGTTACAAGAAGGAAGGAAGGCTCTTAAACCTCATCTGTGCCTTAATGTGAATTAGGCTGTTGTGATTTATATAAATTTGATAAAATTCTGTTCCTAATAATTTGCTGTTTCACCCTCCCCATCGGTATCTACTACAAAGTATAGGCTTAAATGAATGGGGAGGAATCTACAGTATAGAGTATTCTTAAGTATAATCATAATGATGTGCCATCAATTCACTTCTGACTTATAGCAACCCTTTTCAGGGTTTTTCAGGTAGAGAATACTTGGGGTTTACTATTCCCTTCTTCTGGGAGTGCCTTGGGACTGTGCAGCTTGCCCAAGGCCATGCAGGCTGGATCTTCTCCTTGGAGGCACAGTGAGGGCATCGAACTCCCAATCTCTGGCTCCACAGCCAGATAACCTAAAGCACTGACCTATCCAGCCAGCCAATTCTTATTGATTGATTGATTGATTGATTGATTGATTTGATTTATTTGATTGATTTGATTGATTTGATTTATTCGATTTATACCCCACCTATCTGGACCACCGGACCACTGTAGGCGGCTTCCAATATAAAACCAGACAATAAAAACACAAACAAATACATAATAATACAAAACAACTACAATAAAATAAAGAATAGGGAAAAATAAGAAAAAGAAAATCAAGAATTGGCTTGAGGGAAGGCCTGAATGAACAACCATGTTTTTATTTGGGTTTTAAAAATGCCCAGCGTAGGGGCTGCGCGAATCTCCGGAGGGAGATTGTTCCAGAGGCGAGGAGCCACCGCCGAGAAGGCCCAGTTTCGTGTCTTCTCTTTCCAGGCCTCTCTCGGCGTCAGGCTCCTCAGCCTCACCTCCTGACTCGCGCGGGTGATCCGGGTAGACCTTGGTGGAAGCAGGCGTTCCGCCAAGCATTGAGGTCCTAAACCGTTTAGGACCTCGATACTTGTATCGAAGCACGTGTTTCATCTTAAGGAGGCTGGAATAGACAGCTTTCAGTATTTTTCCTGGAGTCTTTTTGTCACTTGGAACACAATTCTCAGTTTGTACTGTGGGGCAGTATATAATTTCAAATAATGAATTAAAAAAGTAAATAAGGTAAATTGTCAACTCCCACACATGTCTCCCTCTGGCTTTAAAAGCAAGTGATATTGTTATAGGATTAATTCAGCCCTTAAATGCAAGCTTTTATTAAAGCCATTAACAGAAGCAGTTCATCAGTAAGCAGATTGTGAAACTCACAATTTTATGTTTTCAGTGGTGGGGATTTACCATTTTCTCTCCATCCCAGCAAGCATTGCTTGCTGTAATCTGATTCCTGCAAACCTACTGGAGATTTATCAAACCTGCATTGTCCGTTTTTTGGACTACGTTTTGCTGCAGACACCGTGTCTATAGGCTTTGTTTTGTTTTTTACTTCAATGCCTTTCTCTCTTCCCGTTTTTAAAATCATTTAGCCTGATGCAGGTTTATGGACAACATGAAGTTAGGCTGTTTTGTAGCATTGTAATTGGCCCAAATATAGGAATTGGCCCTGGATTTTAGATTATGGAACAAGATGTTTATTTATTTATATTTTTGTGGTAGATTATAAAGATAAGCTTAAAAGGAGTTTACTTTTCAGATGTACTTGTTTTAAGGGCTCTGTGCAGGGCAAATGAAATGGGGTGGGTAAGACAAGTGAACCAGCCATAGTTTCCATGAGTTTCCGTCTGTTTTCCTTCATCCTGTTCTACCTGAGAGCAAGCATGGAGGTGGCAGAGCTCCCTCTCTGCTAATGAGTTAAGGACAACTCTTTACTGAAAAAGTGAATAGAATTTAAGTGGCTCAAAATCACTATTGCATGCAGTGGATGTATCAGAAATCTATAGGTGTTCGTTTCTTGTGTTACTTTCCCCCTAATATGCATTTGAGTAGTTGCCCATAACATTGTGTGCCCCCCCGGGGGGGGGGGTTATCTGGGCATTGTGCAGTATGTACTAATCTCTGTGATGTTGGGCAAGAGGACTCAGATCCTTGCAAAGTGTGTGAAATACAGGAAACTGCAGATCACATTATATGGGGCTGCTTATGGTATGGGGGGGGGAGGGAGGCTTTTCTTTGTCTTCTGGTTAAAAAGGAAGTTGTAGCTAGTAATCTGGGGAAGATGCTTTCTGGTCAGAGACTAGGCAATTTAGCCTATTTTTTTTTCAACCTGCCAATTTACGTGGGCAAATTCTATGTTATTACATGTAACACATCTAATTGATTGGTTTTGAAGGGGGGGGAGGGAAGAATTCTGATTGATTTAACTATTTAGGTAGTACATAATATATTTTGTTGAAGCATATTGACATATCAGTTAAACATGCAGCTAATGACAGGAGACAAAATCTGTACAAGCATCTGCTTTAAAATTTACCGTCTCATAAAAAACATTTTTTATAAATACAACCATTTGTATTTTCCCTTTCCCATCTTTCCCTTTTGTTGTTAGCATGGAAATGTTTAAAACTCATAGCAGACAGCAACAGTTGTTTGTAGATTTAAAAGAAACACCTGTTCAGTCTTTCATTATAGCCAAGTTTCATTTTTAAAAGGCATAGAGTGTAGAGAAGAGCATCATTCTGGGTTGGGGGGGCATCATTGTTGGGAATAAGAGAGAGAGAGAGACCCTTACTCAAGACAGTTATGAACAAAATGGGAACCAGATTATCTTTTGAGATAAAAAGGTATTGCTGGACATTTTTTGGGATTTGAAGACTTATGTCCTGAATAGTTTTTCTAATTAAAATGTGTGAAGATGCTGAAACTATGTGAAAATAATAATGTACTGGTTATCATTTGTGGTACTGTGTTTATTTAGATGTATTTTAATTTCAGGATTAGTTTCATAATTCCAGTAGCTTGCATAATGCAGTTCTGTCCTTTTCCAACCTTACCATCTGAAGTTTGGGACTTGTAACAAAAGCAGTCTCAGGGACTTTATGAAGGACATCACAGCTTGATCTCCTGATTATGCACACCTTCTCTAGCATATTAAGTGACCTTTCTTCTCTTTTACCATCTGAAGTATGGGACTTGAAACAAAAGCAGTCTCATGGACTCTATGAAGGACATCGCAGCTTGATCTCCTGATTATGCACACTTTCTCTAGCACAGTGGTTGTTAACCTTTTTGAAAGAAACTTTCTTTAATATCTGCATAGGTATTTTGCAGTGGGTGAAATTGATAGACAACTTTGATGCAGAATATGAATATGTCACGAATGAGGGAACTATATTTACCTTCAAGACGAATCGCCATGCTCCAAACTATCGATTAATTAATATTGATTTTAATGATCCTGAGGAATCCAAGTGGAAAGTGTTGGTTCCTGAACATGGAAGGGACGTTCTGGGTAAGAACAAAAATAGTCATAATCTGTTGTGTAGAAAGAAGGGAAAGCTGCTTACCTGTGATGTTAACTGAGAAGGCCTTGAATTATTCACTCTGCAGCAGCTAAAGCATCTGAACTTAAGAAACATTCTGTGTGGCAAATGGCATGGTATGTATTTACGTTTTCATGCAGCCATGGTGCGTAATATATACTGTAATATAGAACTGAGCAATGCACTGCATGGTTTTTATTCCCCCTGAAGGCACATAAGACATTTGATGGATGTCTTTTGGGGATGGCTTTAAAATTTGTTCATGGCTGCGCTGTGGGTTAAACCGCAGAAGCCTCTGTGCTGTAAGGTCTGTATATCTTCAGCTGTAAGATCGAATCCACGTGACAGAGTGAGCTCCTGTTGCTTGTCCCAGCTCCCGCCAACCTAGCGGTTCGAAAGCATGCAAATGTGAATAGATAAATAGGGACCACCTCGGTGGGAAGGTAACAGCGTTCTGTGTCTAAGTCGCACTGGCCATGTGACCACGGAAGATTGTCTTTAGACAAACGCTGGCTCTATGGCTTGGAAATGGGGATGAGCACCGCCCCATAGAGTCGAACACGACTGGACAAAAATTGTCAGGGGGAACCTTTACCTTTACACTCAACACACAAGAATGGAAAAGATATTGCTCATGACAAACAAGTCTAATTTATGTCATGAGTCTACTCTAATACTAGATGTAGTCCATAGTTATTTACAAAAAGGTATCTTTTGAATATAGGAATATGAGAATGAAATATCTATTAATGGATTTTGAAATAGCTACTTTTTGCATTTGAGAAGAAACATAGAAATTTTAATATTCATTTGATCATAATTCTAGTGAGAACTTGCTATTCAAAATATGATGGTGTCTTATTGTTAAAAGCAACAATTGTATCATGTTGCTTTAGTCACTTCCAAGATTAAGTTTCGAAAGACATTATTATAACAGAAGGTAGTTAATGATGTATCACTCTGACAGTTTTACATTCAATTGAACTTTTGATTTTGCCTGATACAATGATGACATTCTAATGAAGTGTCTTCTGTGAAAGCAAGATATGTAGAAATTCAGTGAGGAAACGGTTGCTTAGCATCAAGTGATTCACTTCTAGAATAATTTGCCTCTGATACTATTGTACATTACTTCTAAGTATAATAATTGTACGTATCCTGCTGTCCTTTTAAAAAAATTAAAATATTTAAACAAAGTTCTTTATTCATTCAGCATATTTATCTTGTGGTGATACCAAAAATGCCACTGTAGTACATATCGATAATATCAATATGTATGTTTTGACTATTTTGAAATTGTCCTAATGCTTATTTTTCTTTAAAATGTTTTCCTAAGTCAATATCTTGCATTTACCATGCTACCTCTCACATTGTTCCAGTTCTTTTATCAAACCTCTGGAACATTTCAGGAAAAAGCACATGGGCTGCTGAGGTAGGAGGATCAGAGAAAGTCACACTCACCTCTTTTATGAACAGATGGATGAAATGACAAATAATAATGGTTGATGTCAAATGATCAAACATTATTGGCTGATGGGAACTTGGAATTTATGGCTGGTTTCAGTATATATTTTTTATCCATATTTAATGCAGTTTTAATTCTGTAGATACAGAAAGATACATAGAAAATGTTCATCAAAGTCTCATGGTCAAGAAAGCTTGTCAAAGATTCATAAGAAGACTTCTGCCTTCAGTACAAGATCAAAACTGTGTAAACTATTTTGATCTTGTACAAACTGTCAAACCCAATTTCTCTCACACACACACATACAAACACACACACACACACATCAGGCACAAAATGACAGACAGATTATTCATAAAAATGTGAACAAGTGCTCAAGTACTGTATTTCCACTTTTTTATAGCTTCTGCAACTGCAGAAGTTACTGGAATTTAATTTTTTTTCCTTTTTACAAAAACACACAAAAATTGGTTTCACAAATGAGCAAAATCTATCTGAGACTAACAACAGGCAAAAATGCCATCTCACTGTCTCACAGCAGTAAGACATTTTTCATGATTGGCACACAAGGGTGAATTCCATCTCCCATGCAGCAGCTATGAGCTCAGACGGTTGCCCTACCCAGATGTTCAGTAGCTGAGTCAAAATAAATGTGTGAGAAAGAAAACATGCTAGCCTTACCACCCTCTGGTCAAGGTTTCTTTAAGGCAAAAGAGTGGAACCTTCATCAACCCAAGGACCAAATTCAGTTTCAGTGACGCTTCTGGGCATGAGACATTCCAATAGAGAACAAGATTAATGTCAACAGAGGAGGGCTAAAAATGCTAGCACATTTTAGCTTCCAGCCAGCCACTAATCTTAGATGGTACAGTTTAATCTTAGATGATACAGCCACTAATCTTAGATGATACAGATGATACATTTAGAATGAGAAAAAAATCAATATGAAAGCTGGGAAGCCACCAAATGGTGAGATCCTGGGAAGGGGATATGGCTGTTTAAGGAATCTCAGGACCACACTGGGACTGGAGGTAAAGGTAAAGGTTCCCCTTGACAATTTTTGTCCAGTCATGTTTGACTCTAGGGGGCAGTGCTCATCCCCGTTTCCAAGCCATAGAGCCAGCGTTTTGTCTGAAGACAATCTTCCGTGGTCACATAGCCAGTCCGACTTAGACACGGAATGCTGTTACCTTCCCACCGAGGTGGTCCCTATTTATCTACTCGCATTTGCATGCTTTCGAACAGCTAGGTTGGCGGGAGCTGGGACAAGCGATGGGTGCTCACTCCGTCACGTGCATTCGATCTTACAACTGAAGATCTACAGACCTTACAGCACAGAGGCTTCTGTGCTTTAACCCACAGCGCCACCACCTCCCTTGGGACCGGAGAGTTGATGTTAAATAGGACCTAATGGTTCCCTCATTTATGTTTCTACTCCAAAGCACTAAAATAGAGTGGGATTACAAAAAAGGGGGGGGGCTTCGCCTTAATTCAGATAAATTTAGGAATCAGTTCTCTCAAATGAAAGGGTAAACACACAAAGTTATAATATTATAAATATGCAGGAATGTTAAGGCACTTAAAATAGCATTTGAAAGTTGTGTTTTAGCTCATACCTTTTAATTTTCAGAGAGGTAAGAGAGGTGTCACTCACCCTTGCCTTTGAATTTGGAGATATTGAATTTTCAGAAATGGTGGTGGTAACTTGACATTAATTAATAGCTGGAATCCCACCTGTCTAGGTGCAGTGTAGCATTACATCTGCCAGGAATTCTGTCCTGGCAACAAAGATTGCACAATTCGATTGTGGAATTGGTTGTGTGGTTCCCATTTCAACTGACTGCACAATACACTTGCAGAAGTGCTTTATGAACAGCACTTCCACCTTGGTGAAATGAACACTGCTGCTTGCCTAACACTGAGTTTTGCAAGCATAGTTACACTTCAGCCAGTGAGTTGCTATTCACATTCCTGGTAAGGTTCAATTCCCATGACTTGGTACACAGCCAGGAATGTGAGTGGTAACACCACTATTAGCAGCAATTCACCAGCACCACCGATTTATGAAATTGCATTTATGCCAGTAGAAATTCCTGAGTAGATTCTGGCTGATAAGTTGTTACATATCTTCTCTGGAGTTTCACTATAAATACCAAGAGTGAATGATCCATGGATAAATTCCTCTGAATAGGCTTCCTCACTTATGCGACTAGCAGGTGACATTTTGTACATAAGAGTGGAGGCAGCCTATCTTTGCACTCTTCAGCTGGGTAAAAGAATGGTCAACATTATGTTTGTATAAGCTCAGTGCATTAGCAGTTGATTTGTTCAGGGAGAATAGATTACATTTCTCTGTTATCTCACACTGGAATCTTCTCAGCAGTTTTGCTTGCTTTGCCAAATCCAGATAGGTTATTTAAAAAAACGCATTAAAAACAGTGTCAACTGCAGAAGAATTGTTACTTGCTAGCTTGATAACCAAAATATATCTAACACATATTTCTGAATCTATGAGACTTTCAGAATCCCAGCGACTATATTTGACAAATCAGTTATACTTTTTAAAAAATTCTGTTAAAAATATTCATTTTAAGGTAATGTTCTGCAAATGGTTCTTTTTCTTCCCATTTACAGAATGGGTCGCTTGTGTTAGATCCAATTTCCTTGTCTTGTGTTATCTCCATGATGTGAAGAATGTTCTGCAACTCCATGACCTAGCAACTGGTGCCCATCTCAAGACATTTCCATTAGATGTTGGCAGTATTGTAGGATACAGTGGCCAAAAGAAAGACACTGAAATATTTTATCAGTTTACTTCCTTCTTATCACCAGGTAAGGCTGTTTTTCCTTTGTAGTGTGTTCTGCATTCTTCATACATGACACTTTTCTGACATAAGCATGTTCATAAGAGCTTGGTACTGGGAAAAATAATACATCTGCAACATCAGATGCAAAGAGAGCCTATATTTGTAGTAATCTAGTCACATGCTTCTCAGTGCATAGCAGTGTGTTTGTGTCTGTAGTATGTATCGAGCCATGGTATGCAGAAGAGCAATTTATTATGTATTTTTAAGACATGAGTTAGATATGTGGCTGCAGAGCCAAAAATTGTGAGTTGAATTCAGCAATATGCAACCCAGAAGAGTCAGCCTGTGTGACCTTGGGCAAACTGCGCAGTCCCAGGATATCCCCATGGTAAACCACATCAGAGTTTTTTCTACGTAGAAAACCTCCCAAAAAGGTAGTCACGAGTCAGAATTTATTTGATGGCACACTGCTATTAATTTATACATAAATACATAAGTATGTATATATATAATAAAAATTGATGTATGCCATGTAACATTGAATAATTATTTTAAGTAATGTGTAAATGAGCTTTGGAAGCATTATCATTGTCTTGACTATTTGTGCGTGCATCTGTATTGCTTTTAAAAGTCATGCTTTAAAAAGGCTGAATGGTATTGTGAAAGACATGTACTTTAAACAGGCTTCTCATTCAGTGTGGTTTGCAGATCAAATTTATTATATATGAATTAATTACATATTAATGTGAGCTGTGAATTAATTGCATATTAAAATGTAGGATTTTTTTGTCTTATTTAGAAATGTTCTTCATAAGTCTGTTGTATAATGATTATACTGTGAACAGTTTATGTTTTCAGTCTGAAGGATAAGTGCCGAAACCATGTATAATTTGTGCTTGCCGTCTAGTATTTATCTCATAAGTATTCCCTGATAATTGCCTTGTGTAACTTTTATTTTAATAACGTTCTTGAAAGGCATTCCCCATTGCTGCTCTTTTTTCTTTTTAAAGCTATAATTAGTTGATAATACCAACTGATGCTTTACAGGTGAACAGACACTAAATAATAGAGAACAGTTGCCGAGTCTGTTCTGACCTGTTATCACTTGGAAGGAAGAAGGTATTTTGAAAAGGCTAGTCCGTTGAATCATATTCCAGAGTTTCTCTTCAATTATACTGTTTTATCCAAAATCTAAGTTGGATTGTTCCCCTTCTAAAAAGCAGAACCCGAAACCTCTCTTTCCATGGACAAGCATTCAGCAGTTTTACTGACATTATATTTTCTATAAGCAGGTCGGCTTTTTTGCATAGGACTGCTGAAACAAGACATATGTCATTTGAAGGGTACAATCCAGGCAGATCATAGTGTATGTGTTCCTCAGAATATGAAAGCCCAGTCTGGGAATGTAACTGTGTAAGCTTCCCCCAGCTTAATACCTTCTTGCATGACGGTTCATGGCCTCTCCCTGTCTGGGCCAGAGATGGGGAAATGTTTAGTTTTTGGACTACATGGCCTCAAATTCCTTATGGCCATGAGACTGTTGTATGTAGGCCTATGTAGCCAAACCTCTCCCATCTCTCCCCATCTTGTGATGTTCAGCAGAGCAATAACATCTGAAGTAGAATTCTACTTCTGTTCAACTGGATATGAGTAGAATCCTACTTCTGACCTTGCCGCCTCCATGTGGTGAGGCTAGGAAAGAAAGGGGCAGGGCATGGCACACATTCTTTCTTCATTTGGTGGAGGTCAACATGCAGATCCCTCTGCAGAAGTTGCGTCCTGTTGTCTGTTGAAGAATGCACAAAGAGAGCTTTTGATGCTGCTGAAAGTACAAATTACAGTACCACCTAATATTCTGTCCTCTGAACTACATTTGCTTTTTGAGTTACTTTTAGCTCCAAGTTGTCTTCTGCAAAAGTTTAAAGACTAGAGAATGATAAGGTGATTCTTTTAAAATGTTTGCTGGAACAAAAGTGTAAGTGATTAAAGGAGCAGTTCCGTATTATTTAGGATAAATGTAGCTTGGATTAAGCTATAATGAGTAATTTGCAACATAGTAACCAGAAGAGCCTAGCTTTTGAAAGGTCATTACTTCTGCTCCTAAGCATAATTTTCATTGCTCAGTAATCGGCAGTGATTACTGATGTTCAGCATGTTTCAGCAGTATTAGTAAATTCATTTTATTCTTTTACAGTGTAATTTACAAATCAGTAGATATGCCAGTAGAGCTGATTGGTAGAGAGAGATCAGGCACGTCTTCGTTATTCTGCTGTTATTCTGCTGTTGTTCGACAACCGGTTTGCTTCCTGTTGATAGCCTTAAGTTGTGGTTTCCTTGTCTTTCTAAGTGAAGAGAATCCAGGAACTGCTCTTAGCCAAATGGGTGCTGGCAACATTCATATTTGCAAATTCATCGCTTCCAACAGCGACAACAGCAGGACACACAGAAAGAGAATTCTGCTTTTCCTTTCGGCACCTGCAGAAACATGACAGGCTTTATTGTTTAGAGGCTTCTTCTGTTTCACAGAATTATGGCTTATGGTGCCACACTGATTTTAATTGTTTTGAAAGCTTGGGCAGTATTGGGTATAAATGTTTTAGCCAGATAATTATAGTGCTTTCTTTAGAGTCTTAACATGACCAGATAAACTTTCTTTTCACATGAAGTCTAGGTGTGACAGTATCTGAAACACTTTACTAGGGCGAGTCTTTTGGGAACAGCTGGTTGGCTTCTTAGCAAAGAAGTACCAGCAGCTCTTGTTCTAGAGGTGGGGAAAAGCTTTTGTTCTTTAGCATCCCAAAAAACTCAAGTCTTCTGCTCTCCAGATAGCTATATTCAAAATCTGTTAGCTGATCAAAAACAATTTTGTAAAATCTCCAGAGTTGGTGAGGCATGATAAAAGCCCAAATATATTAATACAGATAAGGCTATGTGAAAAAGGCAAACGGAAATTGCTGTGAGGATAAAGAACATGAGAAAATAATGGGCAATGTTTAACACATGCTGTTAAATTCAGTTCTTCAGAAAACCTTCAGTTTATGAATCTGGGATATTGTGCTTTGTATCCAAAAGCCATGAAGTGCTGCACAATATCGTGCCCACATTGCCAGCAGGAAAAACCTCTGAAAAGGGTGTCCTGAATATCGGCAACACCAGTGGCAGCAGTGGTTGCCAACTGTGGGTCCCCAGATGTTTCTGGATTACAACTCCCAGAAATCCGGGCCAGCACGGCTACTAGTAAAGGCTTCTGGAAGTTTTAGTCCAAGAACATCTGTGGTCCCAAGATTGGGAACCACTGGTCTATAGGATACTTTCTTGTGCTCATTAACATTTCTTTTAAGCATTTTAATACCTACAGAACTTGTTGAAAAACATATCTGACAATTGCTTTGTGTTTGTCTGAGAAGTGGTTAATTGATGAAACAAGGAGTAAGTTTCTGAGATTTTCAGGAATGGTAGGAGAAGACAGACCCAAAAACAGCTGGGATGTGGTTACAGTCCCTCTATGTCAAAATATTTTGAAGGGCTGTTTTAGAAGTTAATGTAGTGGTGAAGCAAAACTATGAGTGAGTGCAACACACACAACAGAGAAATATAGACACCTTTTAACCTCTCAGGTAAACTAACATTGGCTGCCTGCTCTACAGAATGCAGGCTAGAAAGCTCTCTTCCAGTTTCCAAGCCCATGCTCTGCTGATTTCCTCTTTGAAAATGTACCTTTGGAAACTATTTGATCTCAGAAATCTTAAGAAGATGTTGACTGAAGATACATAGCAAAATATTCCCCTTTCTGGAGGATTGTCATTCTGTTACTTTCTTTAAAGCAAGGATGCTTTGTTTTTGTTTTGTTCTTTGTTACTCCTTAAAGAAAATCTTTTCAGTTTGTTTGACCTTTCTCTCTAAATATCTCCCTCCCTCCTATGGATGTATACAATATTTAATTTCACAAAGCTCCTACTGGCTAGCCTGTGCCACACATAATCTTATAACAAAGTGGCTGTTTTTCCTTTGCACATCCTATGGCACCACTGGGTCTAAAAAATAACATACTTCATGCTACAGAAGTGACCCAAAAGTGGGACTACAACTCCATTAAGAACAGGTTTGACACTATTTCAGAACACCAGTGACCACCAAAATGCTTATGTGCCCAACATGGTTGCCCTTATATATCTGTGTTACTCTTTAGGGGGAAATCAGTTGTAGGAGAGTTAAAGGCATTCATTTTGTGATATAACTGTAACATTTTACTTATTTATAGGAGTATGGCTTTAGTAACTGTAAGAACAATATCACATGGTTTAGGCGTTGGCTTGTACTCTTGTCTTGTATCCTCTTGTGCATTCTGAGGGGAAAAAGGAAATGGACCCCAGCGTAGTAGCTCATATGTTTTTCTTAGAAAGCAAAAAAAAAAGTTACTTTTTAGAAGTAACTAATTTTGTTACTTTTTAGAAATAGCAGAGTAAAGAGATAGTGTTGTAGTTTCTAGACAGTAATTTGGGGTGTTCTTTGGAACTAAAATTCTCACTAATTATTTCTGAAAAGAGGCTTCCCATAATGTTTGTTTAGATACAGGTATTTCCTTATTGTCCCTCATTCATACAGGTTGGGGAGAGTAGAACAAACGTATATGATGGGAATTCCTTATTCAACAACCTGTTCTTTCCTCCTTTTCTGTTGTGGTTTAAGGAAGAAGCAGTAATAAGGAAAGCAATAAGAAAGTTGACCTTGCTCTGAAATGATGTGTCATTCTTTCTTCTTTTCTTGTAAAGGCTTTCTGCTTGTCAGTTGGTATTAAGTATCTGGATTTCAAAAGCCTTGAAAGCAAATGGAATTTACATCCAGTAGATGTCTGTCTACAACAAATTTAAAATTACTAAGAAAAAAAAGAGTAGGAGCCTGGGATTACATTTGCCATGAATAATCCTAAAAGGTTGTACAAGGATTTAGTGAAGAATTTTTTGGTCAGTAACAAGTGATAAAATCTGTGTACGTTTGAACCTACTTTTAAATGGAATGACTAGTTTGCTAACTGGTGCCTTTTTTTCTCCCTCTAGTTAAATTTGGTGTATTTTGATGAGTGACTCAGTGATGTGCACAGCACAGTGCATTTGGCTTAGTTTTTCACTAAGAATGGCAACAACAAAAAACCCTCACTATACTTAGCTTTTTCTGATTAATGTGGACATCACTGCCCAAGCAGTTAAACAAGGTGTAAGGCAGGATGGTAGGTACCATGTAATTACATTGTGAATGATTTTAAATGCTCAGATGTAAGTGGAATCAGTTGAACAAATTCATATTATGTACGTAGACAAAATTCAATATGAGATATCTCTCTCTCTCTCTCTCTCTCTCTCTCTCTCTCTCTCTCTCTCTCTCTCTCCCCTCATCTAGTTCATCAGCTTTGAGTGTGGCCTGGGCAACACTGAGAGATTGGCATAAGCAACTCTTGCATGTATAGCAGGAATTTTTTTCTGGAATGAAATTGTGTGATTTGAAATGGAACAGTGCATTTGAGCAATTAAAACAAGTATGCCAGCTGCGCCTGTTCCTGGAGAGATCTGATCTGGCCACAGTGGCATATGCCTTAGTTACATCTCAGCTGGATTACTGTAACATGCTCTACCTGTTTACAATAGTCTCTAGATAGTATCTGGAAACTACAGCAGGTCCAAAACACAGCAGCCAGTTACAGGAATCGCATAACCCCCCACCCACCCCCGTTACAGTGGCTCCACTGACTACGGGCAAAAGTGCTGGTTCTAACCTATAAAGCCTTAGATGGCTGAGGCTCAAGCTATCTCAAGGACTGTGTCTACTTTTATGAGCCTGCATGGGTGTTAAGATCATCAGGAGAGGCCTTTCTCTTGGCCCTGCCACCCTCATAGGTGTGTTTGGTTGGGACATGGGAAAGAGCCTTCTCTGTGACTGCTCCCGGACTCTGGAACTCCCTCCCACAGGAGGCCAGGCTGGCTTCATCTTTGCTGTCCTTCTACAAGCAGGTGAAGCCCTTTCTCTTCAGGCAAGATTTCTCTTAATGATGGGCTGCCTGAGTGGGGTTTTTCAATGGATGGTGGTACTTTACTGCTTTGAAGGTGTATTTGGTGTTGCTTTCGTTTATTGTTTTTTTGTAGTGTGGCCTTTGTTCAATTCTTTTTGGTATTTGTATATTTACTCTTTTTATCTTTAAATATTGTCTTTTGAGGATGTAAGCCACTTTGGGTCCTTTTTAAGGAGAAAAGTGGGGTAAAAATAATTTAAAGAAACAAACAGTTCAGACCAAGCTTTGTTGTTGGTAGTGTTTGTGGGAAAAGGAATAGGAGAAGATAAATAATCTGGGACTGGTTTAACAAAAATAAACTCACCACTTGATGAAAATGCATTTCATGGTATATCAGCTTGTTTAGAATATGTGCTTTACTAGCTTGTTACAGGTTCTCTAATTAAATATTTTCTACTTTTCCATAGACCTTCATGATTTGGAGCCTAGTATGATTGAATGGTGACTATTGTCAAATAGTAAGAATAGCAAAAGTGGTTTTTGAAGTATAATTTAATTAGAAGGAAGAAATGCTAATGTTTTATGGTTGGTAATGTTTTGGATTTTTCTAGAGGATGTGAGAATTTCAGCTGCCATGAAGAAAGAGAAGACACTTTAACTGCTATTTCAACCATTTTCATTAGAGCAGGCTGTAAATTCATCCGCTGTATAAAGGCGGGAAGGCTTTATGGTGATTGAAAACAAGACTTGATGAATTATTTTCCAGTCACATTAATTTGCATTTTCTAAGTGTGCCACATATAAAAGCTAAGAAAATAGACTATGGTAGCGGGGAGCGGAGCAAAATGTAGAGTAGGATCCACTGGTAGACCTCTGAGTTTCTGACTTTAGAGCAAGGGGATTAAAAATTAACATGCTGGCGCATCTGTCATGTTGGCTTTGTGCTAAGTGCCTATTTCTCATCCTCAGTGGTACTTCTCTTACAATAAGGCAGCTAGTTGGTTGCTCTCAGATAGGTCTTTGTTCGGTTTCTTTATTTATTTATCTAAAATATTTTTACCGGGCCTTTCTTCTTAAAAGGACCCACGTCAGCTTTACTATTCAGTTTCAAAGTGATGTGTTAGAATCCCTAATTTGTTTATATCTCTTATGAACTTTATAAGGTGCAATTAGTAACTTGCCTGTGGCGCTGAGACACCATTTTAGTGCTGGGCATTGATTGGTAGAATTGATCAACAGCAATCAACAGTGTATCAAATTGATTCTGACTCGGACAATGCTCTCAGGGTTTTCTAGGCATAACATACCTAGAAACAACCAATCCCTCTTCCTGGTGGTGCTTTGGGACTACGCAGCTTGCCCATGGCCACACAGGTGGCAAGGCAGTTAATGCCATCAGTCATACATGCTCCAGGTGATATTGGCTGGACCCTCAGCTAGCAGGCACAGAGGAGATCTGAAGGTACACTGACCAATGGAGGTATACCTGTAGAGATAGAACTTGGGATTCTGGTGGAAATCAGTATTCTAATAAAATACATAAACATGGATCCTACCAACCAGAAGTCTACTCAACTCCTGTCATTGGGGTATAGAATCTTGTGGCCAGATACTGATTTAATTTATTAACAAACCTGAATTATGTATTTAGGTATTATTTACCACTGTGATCTGACCAAAGATGAACTAGAGCCAAGAGTTTTCCGAGAGGTCACAGTAAAAGGATTTGATCCTTCAGCTTACCAAACAGTGCAAGTAAGTGTATTTTTTAAATGTTCTTTTCTCATAAGACCTCTGTAACAACTACAAAAATGTGCTTGGTTAAAATTCTTGGTTAAGAATTAGCATCTCAGTTAATTTTGTACCATGATAAGTTTCAAGATGCAATCTGTTGGAGGATGGGAATTTGCAGTTTTTATTTTGGTAGCAACTGATGTGAAAACATATTGTGGCACCTGAAATTGTATCTTTGATGTGTAGTTTGCCATACTGTTGTTGTTGTTTTTTTAACAATCCGTAGCCGGCGTTCACTGTATGGTATGGTCTGTGAACTTTGGAGAGTATGGTGGCATCCTTACCATTCTGTTGCTCTCAAGGGAACTTCTGTGAAACTTTCACAAAAAGAAACCAGTGTGGGTCCCCAGACACCCAACAGGCATCACACACCCTTTTCAATTTTTGAGAAAATCTCATCCTTTCCCACCTCTTTTCTATCATCATCTTAGCACCCTTTTAACAAAGGTTCCCATTGATAATTTCATTTAGAATTAAAAAAATAATTACATGATTCTAGTAAAGAAATATTTTAAATGCCCTGGATCCGTTTCAGTTGGGCTTCAGGCCGCGCCACAGCACAGAAACAGCATTGGTCGCCCTGCTGGATGACCTACTTAGGGAGGCCAACAGGGGCAAAATGTCCTTGCTTGTCCTTCTTGATATCTCAGCTGCCTTTGATACCGTCGACCACAGTATCCTCCTGGGGAGGCTCTCCGAGTTGGGGATTGGTGGCCTTGCTCTCGCTTGGCTCCTGTCCTTCTTGGAGGGCCGTCCCCAGAGAGTTCGGCTTGGGGAGAATGTATTGGCCCTGTGGTCCCTCAGTTGTGGGGTCCTGCAGGTTTTGATCATATCCCCAATACTGTTTAACATCTATATGAGGCCGTGGGGGGGTCATCCGTGGATGTGGACCTTCGTGTCACCAATATGCTGATGACACCCAGCTCTACATCTCCTTTTTTCCATCTGCAGTGGACACCGTTCCGTCCTTTGGGCGCTGCCTGGAGGCCGTTTTGTAATGGATACAGTCAAATGAACTAAGGTTGAACCGGACAAGATGGAGGTCCTGCAAGTGGGTGGGCCCAATGTCAGTGATTTTGGGAACTTCCTCTCTTTTGGGGGGGTGAGTCTCAACACAAAGAATTTAGTTTGCAGTCTGGAGGTGAGTGGGTGGGCCCAATGTCAGTGGTTTTGGGAACTTCCTCTCTTTTGGGGGGGGTGACTCTCACCACAAAGAATTTAGTTTGCAGTCTGGAGGTCACTTCTGAAGAGAAACACGGCACACTGTAACATTTTTCAATAGACTTCCGTTTCACCCAGCTTAACGCAAATCAATCATAAACATACATTTCTGTTTCCTTCAGAGGTGAGGGAATTTCCATCGTGTGTGCTTTTAAAAGGGTGAGATTTGTCATTTTAATAAGCACTATGTTCATTGAGGTGACAATAACTGAATTCAAATACCCATGTAATAAATAAAGAAGGAGAAAGCTAATGTGGATATCTTAAGTTAAAATACTTGTGGAATCTAGGATCACTTTTGTCGTTTCATTAAGTCATGTTGAAACTATGTTTCACTGAAATAAGCCTGGTTGCAAGCGAGTTGGGTGATTATCAGGATTGAAGCAGGAATTATTTAATTACCGTATTTACCGGTGTATAAGGCGACTGGGTGTATAAGACCATCCCCCAACATTCCCACTCAGAATATAGAGTTTGTTATATACTTGCTGTAAAAGACTACCCCCTCTTCCGCCTGCGTGATTCTGCTTTGGCTGCATCATGGGGAGAGTTCCTTTTGTCCCTTTTGGTTCCTTTTTGGAGAGAGCCAGGGTTTGTTGGAAGAAGGAACAGCAGAGAGGCGGCAGCCATTTTGGAGAGGCAGCAGCCATTTTGAGAGGCAGGAGCCACGTGGGTGCATCTCAAAATGGCTGCCTCCTCTCTGCTGTTCTGGCAGTCAGCTGTTCGGCGCTAGAGTCAGGCTGTTCCCAGGCTAGGAGCGGGGCTCTACTCGGTCTTACTACCAGGTAAGTGACTTCGCTGGGAGAGAGGGAGGGTTTGCTAGACATGCACCCGGCGTACAAGACGATCCCCCCCTTGGACGCATGTTTTTCAGGGCCAAAAAGTCATCTTGTACGCCGGCAAATACGGTACTGATCGTCTTCAGTTGCTGGTGACATCACCCTTATGGAGGCATAATTTACTCATCGGGATTTTGGCTAATGATTTGCTTTTACTGCATTACAGTAGGTAGTCCAAATATGATGTACAAGTCTATCTATTACATTATTTATTATTGCAAAATCTATTCATGGACTGCAAATCATTTTGTGGCATGCAGGTTCATGTTGTAATAAATCTGGTGGTCTTTATAATGATGGAGGACTTTATTTTTGTTGCAACAGACCAGCATGGCAAATATAGGATGAGGATATAGATGAGAAATAAATAAATATGTTGAGCTAAATCTTGCATAACAGTGGCTGTTGCCAGAGAACTTTCTTCCACTCCTTCCCCCATGCAGTGCTTGGAATCACCTGAAAATGGTCTCCTTCAGAGCTAATCTGGGAGTCTATGGGGGAGAAGAGTTGCCCCAGTTTTGCTAGAATCCACTGTTCTGCTGACAGACCTCTAGTGTTGGATAATTACTTAAGATGCCATCATATTTCTGATAAATACAATTAAATCTGTCATTCCTGGAATGGTGTTTTTTATTCAAAATAAGTATATTCCTTGAAGAGTTACTCATTTCAGTAGCAGAATCATTTGAACACTGTCTGAAGCTTGCTTTCTAATTATTATTAATCCTGAAAGTCTTAAATGTACTTTTAATTTTATTTTAATTTTATTTGATGTGTTTGTTTTGTTGCTGAAAGGTCTTTTGGGAGCCTTTATCAGTCCTGAAAAGTGATATAAAATGCTTTTATGATTGAATATAAATCCTAATTTGGTGTAATTGCGTTTCTGTTTTAAATTTTTAAAAGAAAATAAAAATGGCATTATATGGGTTTGTTGTTTACTTGCTGTTTGTGCATAAGAGGCACCTGGTTGGATCCTTCTGTTTGGAATAACAGTAAACTGCACTCATGGAAATCCTAGGTGTGTAGCCTTTGTGCAGTGAGAAACCCCAAACGGTGTAATGGCTTCATTTCAATTACCGTATTTTTCACACCATAAGACGCACTTTTTTCCCACAAAACAGGGGTGGTGGAAAGTCTGTGCGTCTTATGGAGTGAAGAAAACAGATTATATTTTCCTGTTTTCTTCTCCTAAAAAATTGGTGCGTCTTATGGAAAGGTGCGTCTTAGTATAGCATATTGCAATAGTTCAGTAATTAAACCCACACTTAATCAGTATGTGAAATACATATTTATTAAGGCTTTTTTCCAGTCCATTTATGTTTATGCAGAATTCTTTCTATGTGTACTCTGTGCATGGTTTTTAGTGGACTTTATTCTTAAATAAATTTAAGATTATAACACTTAAGTATAAATACTGATTAAGTGTGGATTAAATTATAGTTTGATTGAGAGGAAGCAATTACACTGTAATGGTTTATATCTTCATAATTGATTTATAACTGGATTAATGGTGAATAAAATTTGAATTAAAATTGTCAAGAACAAAGCATCTTTATATTTGTTTTTATAGTATACCTATGCAAGTTGCAGCGTATGGTAGCCTTTAGATTGGGAATTACTTGATGATGTTTGAAGGAATAGGCTAAGAAGAGGTCTGTTGGCTGCAATTTTTGCAAATAGTTTTTTTTCAAAGGCTGCCCCACGTATAGCATATTGCAATAGTTCAGTCTGGTTGTTAACAGTGCATGTGTGACTGTTGCCAGGCTACGCTCATCCAGGTAAGGGTGAAGTTGGTGTAGTCTCCACAGCTGTAAGAAGGCACCCCTGGACACCAAGTCCACCTGGGCTTCCAAGGTCAGACCCAGGTCAAGGAACACCCCCAAGCTGCGGACCCTGTCCTTTAGGAGGAGTGTAACCCCGTCTAAGGCAGGGAAATAGCCCTTTAACCTATCTGGTGGAGCACCTACCAGCACCACTTCTGACTTGTCTGGATTGAGCCTCAGTTTATTGACCCTCATCCAGTTCATTATCGAGTCCAGGCACGAGTTGAGAACAGTGACTGCCACACCTGGATTGGTAGAGAATGAGAGGTAGAGCTGGGTGTCATCAGCATATTGCTGACTCCTCAGCCCAAATCTCCTAATGACATCCCCCAGTGGTTTCATGTAGATATTGAATAGCATGCGGGACAGTATAGAGCCTTGAGGAACCCCATGATGCAACCGCCAGGGATCAGAGCTACTGTCTTCCAGCACCACCTTTTGGATCCAATCAGCCAGGTAGGAGCGGAACCACCATAAAACAGTGCCTCCCATTCCCATTCAAGCCATTCTGTCCAGAAGGTGTCAAAAACCACTGAGAGGTCCAGGAGAATCGTCAACAGGGACACATTCCCCTGTCTCTCTCCCGGCAAAGGTCGTCAGACAGGGTGACCAAGGCAGTCTCCATCTCATAACCCAGCTGAATCAAAATCTGACTGAAATGGATCTAGATAATCCTTGACTTCAAAGTCTTGATGCTTACATATAAAGCCCTAAACGGTTTAGGGCCTCGATATTTGGCAGAACGCCTACTCCCACTAAGCTCTACCCATGTCACTTGAGCGAGTCAGGAGGTGAGGCTGAGGGGCTGATGCTGAGGGAGGCCCAAAAGGAAAAAACAAGAAACCAGGCCTTCTCGGCGGTGGCTCCTTGCCTCTGGAATAATCTGCCTCCGGAGATTCGCACGGCTCCCTCGTTGTGTATTTTCAAAAACCAACTAAAAACATGGATGTTTAGGCAGGCCTTTGCTCCAGTTAATTCCTGACTCTCCCTCTTTTTCTTCTTCTTTTATGATTTATTTTTAATCTTTCCATCTTGAAGAATTGCTATTTAGTGTACTAATTTTTTTTACATGTTTATT